GCTGTCAAAATCCGTGCTAGATTAATGATGATATCAGATCCAAGCGACTCCACAATGGACTTGCGATGCTACAGAGTACTAAATGTTTGTCAAATGTTCTAGGTCCGCTCTGTTTTCAAAGCCTTGATCACTTGCATGTCTGCCGTGCTCAGGCTCGTAAGCTCCCCTGCTTCGATATAGTGGCACTATAAGTTGATGATGCTTGTCATGTTGTCAAGCTTCGACGACGTTTCATCAGGAGCCATCCACCAAGGTCGCTAAGCCCCACACAAATCCCTAGGTCAGAATGATTCACCCAGCACCCGGATGGTCAATCGACTTTCATACCTTTGACTTTCGGCGACATACAGCACTCGCTACCAAAAACAATATTCACTTGGTCTTGAAGATTGCCATTTTCATCATACACAGGAGCGCTGATCACTGCATGTCATGGGTCGGACGGAACCTTCGAAAGGCCTGGCGCCACCGAGCTTCCGCCGCGACGCGCGCGCAAAGAAGGCCAAAGCTACTCTGAACAAGGTCATACCGGCGCTCCTGTCGAGCCACCCGCGCGCAAAACGCGGCGTTGATGCCTCGGAGCTGATCATTGAACCACCTGCGCAAAAGTCGCAGTCGAAACACCAGGATGACAACAAGACGGGGCCGTCATCACCGCCTGATGCGGGACCGCGCTTGTTCCTCGAGGTGGCGGATACGTTGACGGTTGCTCGGTTTCTGCTGAGAAATCAGGACACCGACAAGGATGATCTCGGCAATAAGGAAGCTCGGGTCGCCATCTTGAATATGGCCTCGCCGCTATCGCCGGGAGGAGGCTTTGTCAATGGCGCAAGCAGCCAGGAAGAGTCCCTTGTAAGTATCTGACCGGCCTCAAATAGCGACAGAATATGAAATGACAGCCCGCCATTTACATGGCACTTTCAAATATACCCGAAAGAAATGACTAATTGAAGACCTATAGTGTATGCGCACTACGCTCCTCCCGTCTCTCAAGGACGAATTCTACCGTCTCCCAGAGCTCGGCGCCGTCTACACGCCCGACGTGCTTGTATTCCGAGACGAGGCCGGGGAGGACCTCGACAAGCGGGATCGCTGGTTCGTCGACTGCGTCAGCGCGGCCATGCTCCGGATGCCGGAGACCGAGGTCGACGAGGAGTCTGGGCGCGGCAGGTACGTCAACCCTGGCGACCGCGAGACGGTCCTGCAGAAGATGCGGACCGTCATGAGGGTCTACCAGGCCAGGGGGGCGAGGAAAGTAGTGTAAGTCAACCTAGGCTTTCTTTTCTGATTCGTCTATCGTGTCTGGCTATCTATCACTAGACATGCCGTTTTCCATGCATGATTATACGTGGACCCTAGCAAACTTGACAATACCGCATTGGAGGGTGTATTGATAGTCTTGCAACATGTTTAAAGTACTGATACATCTCTGATACAGTCTCGGCGCCTGGGGATGTGGTGCATACGGCAACCCCGTCGGCGAGGTGGCAGCAGCCTGGAGTAAAGTCCTCCTAGGCGGGAAGAAGAACAAGGCCAAGGCCAAGAAGGAGACCTGGTCGGGGATCGAGGAAGTCGTCTTCGCAATCAAGGACCCTGGCCTGGCCGACGGGTTCGAGACGGCGTTTGGTCCAGGCCTGACGCGTAGGGAGGTCGAAGACGACGGTCCAGGGACGGAAGGATCGATCGAGGACGATGCCGAGGAGCTCAGGATGAGGGAGCTCCAAGACAAGATCAGCGAGCTGGAGCTTCGGATGCAGCAGACCGCCAACGACCAGGTCAAATCGGGGCTGGGCGGGATACTCGCCGGGCTCAGGAGTCAACTTGGAGCCGACCAGGATGCCCCAACAAAGGGCGGCAACCATGGCAGCCGGCAGCCTAGCGACGATGAAGTAGCATCAGATCAAGATACTGATGAGTCATCGTCCGAGCTCAGCGACGACGAGGCAGAAGATGGCGATCGGAACAGGCGGTGATGAAGGGCTCGTGCCGGCATGGTTGTCCCCATGTGGCCTAAGCCAATATAAATCCAACGGCTCATGTACTACTCGGTATTACTCGCAAGGATTCTCCAAAGAGCCAGGATTCCCAGCAGTTGTAGTGTGATATGCAGAAGCAATCGATCCAAGGGTACTTCTGCCGAGTGCTTGCATATGAATAGGGCGGCGTGGCATATCCAGCTCTCTCACCTTGGCACACCGTCGCCGTATTCGTTCCCCTTTTTCCTCCACCCCCCGCGCAAATAGTATGTGCAGCAGGAGATCGTCATGAAACTGGGGTACGACATCCATGCAATCATTCCATCATGTTCGCGTCTTTGAAGCCATCCACACATCATCATCGACTCAAGATAGCGTCAAGCCCTGGCTGCTATAGCCAGCCTATAGGCCCATCTCGAAAGTCGGTGTGCCAAGCCCAGCTGCCCCGGAATGTCCCATGCCCTGGGCCGAGAGCGTTAGTTGTCAATAATGCGAGGTCCCTCTCAAGGTTCGGATAGGGCTACCGAGAGAATGCGACATTGCTTGGGTCTAGGCTTTGACCCTGAACCCCCTTCGTCCACGTCCAAGACAATATTGTCTTCACTCCATCAACGTACCTCCTGCCTGGCCTGACTTCACGGATCGTGCTATCGTAATGCATTATCATATATGCATAATGATAAGCGGTCTGAACATAACGGCTTGGCTTCGAGTCTGGGCAAAGGAACATCTCGGCCGAGTCTCCATATTCTGAGAGTTGAACCAGGACCTCGGGATCATTAATCGCCAGTCAGCGCAGCGCAGCGCATGATTACACAAGGCCCCAGGTAGGAATGGCGCTCGACTGTGCCGCACGCCATGGCGGTAGTTTTGATTTAACCCATGTCGACCAGAAGAATTAGAAGCAGGCCCGGCCATCCAAAGTGGAAGACGACAGACGGCCACTGCAGCAGATGATCCTTGGTGGTTTTGGCCTAATCTATTTCACTTTCTCCAGGGTGTCGTCTTGATAATCTGCTAAGTGCTTACGCAGAAGCACATGACCAGAATTATATGCGACGCTGGATGACGAAGAACCAGCTGTGCCACCCAACGATATACCGTTGGCTGTTTTTCTTTCCGACTGCTCTACCTAAATGCGACTCTAAATCATCATATCATGCCATGATATGATGATCAGTCAGGGGAACATAGAAACACAATCATGAGATTGCTGATCGTCAGACTGATTAGACGATAGCTGAACTGACCTCCCCTCAATAAGGAAATTTAGGTGAGTACGCAAAGAAAACCGCCAAGTTTCAACCCGTCACGAACAGGGCTGGTGTTCAGGGCTGCAGACACACCCTGCCGCCGTCTGTTTGGAAGACCCTCGCAAGCCTCGGACTCCCTCCACCTTGCTAAGCGAGGTCAGTCATGTTCGAGTCTGCGAACTCATACGGGTGAGACATGACCGGCTTGCCCAGAAAGGGCAGATGGTAATCGCCGCTTAGATCCGAGACACCGACATCTCCGGCGGGGTGCCAGCGAGAAGAGACAAAGCTCTTTAGGGCTAGCGCTACCGACACGGGGAAACAGCTCTCCCCTGTCCAAATTGTTTTGCTTGCCTAGACTGCTTCGAAATCGATATCGTCAGAGATACTATCGAGGCTTCTCGAAATATGTCAGTCACTACTACTATGTGAAGGCGTTCGATTGCACTTCCACGCTCCGGGGCAGACATGACGCTCCTTCACCACATCCGTCTCCCCTCGGCCGCCCCCGGGTTCCCATCCTACAAGCGCGTCGCCGAGCTGCAGACGTATCTGCAGAGGCGGCTGCTCGAGCACAAAGCCGCTGTTGCCGCCGCCAACCCCCGGACTCGGTCCCCGTCGTTGCCGGCACCGCCACCGACCCTGATCTCCTTCACTCCCGCCCCGACGTACACGCTGGGCCGACGACAGCACGCCGCCCCCCTGTCTCCAGCCGAGGAGCAGCGACTGCGCGCGCCGCTCCGCGTTCGAGTTTCCGAAGGGCAGCCCCCGCGGAGCTATGCGCCCGGAGTGGTCAACGCGCCGCGCGGCGGCCTGGCGACGTACCACGGGCCCGGGCAGCTCGTCCTCTGGCCCGTCATCGACCTGCACTCTCCGCACTACCGCCACTTCACCGTGCGCGACTACGCGTGCCTGCTGGAGAAGACGACCAAGGCGGCGCTGGCCCTGGTGACGAAGAGGCGGTCGGCCGAGATCCAGGGCTTCACGACGAGTGACCCGGGCGTCTGGGTCCGGCACAGCCCCTCGGGGCTCCTCAACACCGCGGATGGAGCGCCGACGGGCGCCGAGGCAGAGGAGCGCAAGATCGCCGCCCTCGGCGTGCATCTCCGGCGACACGTGACGGGGCTGGGCGTGGCCATCAACGTCAACATGCCCGTCAGCGGGCCCGAGGAGACAAACCCCTGGTCGCGGATTGTGGCATGCGGGCTCGAGGACAAGGGCGTCACGAACGTCATGACGGAACTCTACGGCGCCAGCCACGGCAACGAAGAGCACTCATACTCGTCCACCGGGGAGCAACTGCAAGACGAACTGCGGCAGGCCTGGGCAGAGGTGTTCGAAGAGAGGCTCCGCACCAATTCGGGAAGTCTGCCAGAGTACGAGGATCCAGTTCTTGACAAAATGATCTCGTCTTTCAAGCAGAATGTATAATTCCAGTCCATATTCAAGGTACCCGTCGTAATGAGTTTCATGCGAAGCCGCGCAAATTCCTATGGACCTACTCGAAAGTAGTCTTTATCTTATATGCTTTGTACCGCACACTGTAGGTAGATCAGGTGAAAGTTCAAACCACTCAGAGACTCGAAATGTATAATATACATGCCATGCCAGTATGTATTGCCATGCCAGTATGTATTGCCATACTCGAAATGGTTCACGGTCCATACCTAGCCAACGAATATGCTTTTGCCGGAGTATCATTGGCGTCCTGTTGTGCTGCTGCACCTGTGATGACAAAGTTCACGGCACTGTGAAGGGCAAAAAGATGTGTTGATGAGAGTGGGATTCGAACCCACGCCAATTACTTGACTACGATTTGAGACACAGGGAAAACCTGAACGTAGCGCCTTAGACCGCTCGGCCATCTCACCCTATAACTTGTTGCTATTCTGATTTGTGGGGGGCTATATCCCACAGATCTGCGGTTGGGTGGCTGACGAGGATGGTACCAAATATTATTCCAAACTATTCCCTCCCAATTTTTGGGACTCATAATTAATGCAGAATCCGAAAACCCAATGCATCATAAACCAAGACTTTCCACAGTGCTGTAAAATACCTGTTGGAAATCTTGTTATCGTAACAAGCCCTGTGATGACAAAACCATTGCCTCTTCATTACCATGATGTAACGAAACCATACGCCAGAAACTCCGACCCTCTACCGGCCAGTTGATTTTTCAAAACCTTTCAAATGCTCAAGAACTCTTGTTTCGACCACCCGTTCTACCTCTGGGTACGTGGTCGTCTTGATCCGGCTTCCACTGCTCAGGAGTGAATCCAGGATTGGCATAGTGAGCCGGGTTGTAAAAGCTCTGCTTAAACGTGGGAGTCTGAAGAGCCTGGTGGGAAGAATCCGGAGGGGGCGGGGCAGGCGGCTCGGCTGCCATTGTATAGCAATATTTACTGAAGCGAGTTAGATCTGGCATCTGAGGTTGTGGTGACGGCTGCGAAGGGCCACTGTGAGTGGATGACAGAGGCGATGGGGCGGCGGCAGGTCCATCCGCGGACTGCTGAGGAATCCAGGTTGTCTGGGCCGGTGGGCTATAGGCAGACTCCATAGGAGAGATAGGTGACGGTGCACCGAAAATTGATGATTGAAATGCAGACGGCGGACCTCCAAGACTGGAGCCGGGTATCATGGACATAATACCCATGTCGATGCTCGAGAAATTCTGGAGCGATGAGAAGTTGCTCTGAGGTTGGTGTTGGTGGGATAGAGAGGACACCCTGTTGACCTGCACAGCAGCAGGGGCAGAGGGCGGCGGCGGAGGAGATGGCTGGTTTTCTCTGCGGTACAGCAGGTCATAGTGACCGGGACGGAAGAGCAGGTTGATCGTGGGGCCTAATTCCTCCGGATTCATGTCGTTCGCTTCAGGAGGCCAGCGTCCCTGCTTCACCTCAGCTCCTTCATTCGTGTCAAGATACGCAATCTCCAGGACGATATCTGCTCCAGCGATCAGAACGTGGAACAAAAGATCAATGGCGACATGATCGATCTCCTTGGCGACGGGTAAGATCCAAGAATCGCAGTACAAGTCCACGCTTTGATCTTCCCCGCCAGCCACTGCGATGAAATCGCGATACTGCGCAACATTGCCCTTGAGATACGATGCTGCGAGGAGGCGGAGATGGTAGATCATGGAGTTGGATGCGTCCGGATCGTTCCACTTGTCAAATAGAATTGACATGGCATGCTCTGTGGCATCCGCTCCGGTGTCTTGTCCTTCCTCAAATGCCGCTATGAGTTCCTGGAACAGCTCGAGAGTCACACTGGTCATATCTTCGAACAGCATCGTATCGAAGCCGCCAACATTCATCAGGTAGCTATCCAGCGACGAGACCCTGGCTAACTCCACAGACAGTACGTCGACATCTCCACGTTGTACCAGTGTCTCGAAGTATGCAAAGCCGATAGCTGTTTCTACAAGTCAGCACTTCCCTTGCTGTCGGACATAGCAGCCAGCGTATGATATACCCCCTGTCACCTATACAGACAGCAAAGCCTAGTAGGTAGACATTCGTCCAGAGGAATACCACTCGGTATCTCCCCTGCCGCATTTGATATTAATGAAATTGCGGGGTAGAGGTAAGTATGCAGCAGTATACCAGCATCTTAGCAAAGTTGCGACTCACCTCGCCAGCCACAATTACCATCACCCTGGACCTTGCGCCAGTGTGAGTACTTTCGGGGCAATGCCTAGGATCATGTTTGGTTAGTTGCGCACTTGTCCAGCCTGTTGATTGAAAGCTTGCAGGGAGGTCTTGGTGTGTGTCAATCTATGTTAATGGGGGAACAATACTGTGCAGCACGACAAGCTGTCATTGAAGAGATCAGCCGCGGCGGTAGCATAAAATCAAAGCTGGAGTGACAGGAAGAGGTTCGAATGACGAATGGCATGCCTTGTCCAAATGCGGACCCTTTTGCGAGTGCTCCGGACATGGCGGGCAGCGAGGTAGGCAAATGGAACGCGGACGGTGGTCGTGGCACAGATAAGGTAGACAAGGTGTCGTGGAGAGCGGGAGTCGGGACGAGATCAGGATCTTTGCTTACCCTAGATTTGGCAACGAAGACGGGATGCGTCTCGTCTCCTATGAACGCGTTGGCGATTTCATTGCTTGGCCTCTTCTCGCCCACCTTGGGACCCTAGTGGAGAATAGGTTTGTGAGTTGTCTCTTCCTTTGAATCCGGTGAAGAATTGGCAGTGCATGATGCAGAGGAAGAAGCAAAGCGGGAGAGCAGAAAAGCAAAACCCGACGGGTATGTAGGTACGGAGCACGTTGGCAGCAGAGTGAAGCTCCCAAGTTGCAGCGGGGATTGGGGGGATGAGCAGTGTTGGAAGAAACCCACCTCAAGCTCTGGTTCATAGTTCAGGGCAGCGGCCTGCTGCTCAGCAATGTCGCTCGGAAGCTCCATCTTCGTCTCGACGTCAAGGGAGCTTTGCTGGTAGAGTTCGGGGCGCTCGCCGCGAGGGTGACCTTGGTGTGTTCGCCTGCTCTCCTTCTGCGACTTGCGAAATTGATGATATCGACGACGATGAACGAGAGTCTGATGGCGCTGGCCACGTTCGGTTTTGTGCGGAAGATTGGAGAAGTTGTCGAGCGATGGAAAGGCGGCGGCGGTAGTTGAGCTTGCAGCGCCCGAATTCAGGCCTGGCCCGTCGTTGGCTCCTCCCCCGCCGCTACCGCCCAGGCCCTGGCCCAGCGGAGTGGGTGCAAAGGTGCTGTATCCGTAATTGGGTGCGCGCGGGTATTGTAGTGGTCGTGCATTGAGCCCACCCCCCGAGGGATAGGCGTCTTGCGAGAATGAGGACATTCGTCTGATTGCCTTTTGATTCTGTTCCAACAGCTTGCCTGTGCCTAAGTATTCTGTCGTGAGAATTCGAATCTGAGACGGATCGAAGATGAATAGAAGACAATAATAGCAGAGGATATTTTCGACGAGGAGACGACGACCCCCCGTGCAACTGTTGTCTTGTCGCTTGGTGGTTCTGTCGTGCGCGCGAGGCTAGGTGGGCAGGTACGGTTGGTAGTTGGGATGCTAAAAGTCCTGGTTGCGATTTCCTTTCCTGGGACGAGAGAAAATTTCAGGCGCTCGATATCGTTTTAGGAGGAAAGGGCGTCTCAACACCGAGAGGTGATGCGGGATTGAAAGGGGAAAGGAGGAAAGAAAAAAGCAAAGAAAAGAAATTGTGCGAAAGGGGAATCCGACACGAAAGTCGTTTACTTGTTAATACTTATGTTCTTTTCTTCATCGTGCTTTTACGGACGGAACCCAGGCAAAAGTGTATGGCTTGTCTTTCGCCAGGCTCTCTTCTCTCCAAGATATAATTCCGTTATGTACGTACATGAAATACACTGATCCAGTCGACTAAATACACACCTAATCTGCCTGCCTACCTCGAGCTACCTATCGACTGGCCTGCCTCATGTACTACTTGGCATGTTACCTACCGTATGGGCGGCCCTCCCGTCTGAGAGTAACCCGACCATCCGCATCGACCGACAGACAGCCAGATGGGCCACGGCCGCGATACTTCCACAGCACACAGGGGCCAAGCGCTGGTTATGCAAGCCCATTACCTACTTGGCCTTCCGGCTGGCCATGCATCAGTTGACAGTGCCCGTCCAATAGAGGCTCGTGTGGCACGAGCGTGGTCTAGCCTATACTGCATCACCTACGAAATACCGGGTGTCAGATCGATGCTGGGCCCTGGGGTGCCTACTGTCTACTTACAGACGGCCACCGTGGTGCCGCTGCCATGGACAGTCGATTTCACCATGTCCGGGGCAACTCATCATCAAATGTCAGTCAGGCTGCTCCGATGATATGCTGTCAGCGCCAAGCGACTTGAAGTTGCATGCTCAGCAGGATGTTCCCCTTGGACCATCCACCTATGATCAGTCAAATGGCCCGCCCGCCCTGCAACTAAACAACCACTACCTAGCCTGAGTATCTAGGACCCTAGACAGTTTCCACGAAGCCAAGTCTCCTAGGGCTTGTCGCTTGCGATGGCTCCCCTGTCGCCAGATCCAAGAGTATGCGTTGCGATAGACACCTAACCTAGCTGTCAGTATAATCGCTAGGCTTGTTTGAGTTAGAGGACCAGACCCTGCTGCTGCGAGTCGCGACATAGTAGTACTACCTACTCCGTACTATCACCACCCACCTCTATGGGTGCCTACGGACCATACAGACATACAGGTCGGTCACTATGCACGTACGCTGCATACTCGTTCACCAACTTGCAGAGATGTCTAGGCAATCCAGCATACCACTGCGCATTTCCACAAGATATGGTATTGAAGTTCCTGCTGCCACCGCTGGACCGTCCCATTCCCAAGCGAGCTCTATGGATACTTGTTGTTCTCCGACAGCGTATCTACCAGGTTTGTTGCGGTACCCACTTCACCTAGTTCTCGAGAGCGGCATCATATCAGAACGTCAATGCTACCCATGCAATATAGTCTAGTTTTTAGGACAGCGGCACAGCGACGGTGCTGGATGAGCCTGGCTGCCATGTCGATATCGTAAGCCCGCTATCGGGCTACGTACATTGCACCACTGTGGAAGCCATAGCTTGTGTAACCGTCGCACAATCTCACTTGGAGACAGACAGAAACAGATGCCGAGGATGCTTTAGCTGGTTGTCATCCCTGCCGCGAGTTACAGTCCACAACTTACGGCAACTCATCCCTGCACACATGGATGGACAGGTAAGTAACGATCTGAGCGCACTAATACCATCGATGTTTGTCCGTGAGCAAGAAGCTGGCAAGGCTATACTTTCCTCGAGGCGGGTGTGCCCTTCTACACTACCTAGATTCTAGGCACGGAGTAGTTGTGTTGCCCGCGGATGCTATACCTGAAA